TTATTATTATTATTATTATTATTATTTTGAAAATAAAGAAAAGCAGTGGCTCCTGAGAGAGTAAATATGGTACTTTTTGATGAGGAATGTGGGGAAGATTGAGAATGTGATTGAAAGACATAAGGAAAGAAGTAGTAAAGTGAAAAAGGGAAAGCCTAATAAACAAGTGACCAAGAAAAGAAAGAGAGGAAACCTCTGTTAATAAAAGAGAGTATTGGAAAGGAGTAAAGACCAAGAAAGGCCAACCACATAGAGCAAATTAGAAAATGAAATTTTTTTTCAGAGAAAGAAGTGAGGGTCTTGCAGATGACTTAAAAATGTGTGTGCCATTATATTCATTTCATATAACACCAAAGTACCTAAATCCTTACACACAGAATAAACTATAAAATTAAGACAAAAGGAATAAAGAAGCAGCTTGGGACCAACAATGCCTCCCCACCTTTTTTTCCATATCGAGAAGATCACTTACCTGCAACATTAAAATTTGTTTTTAATATCACTCAATATAGTATCCCCCAACATAGCTTTCTTTTTACCTATGTGCATTTTTTCCACACAATTGCAGTCATAGTTACACGCTATTCCTTATTACCATATTTTTTGAGTCCTTATTCCATTCTCTCTCCGTGTGGCCATGGAGTCTCCCATCATTATCTCCTACTAGAGGCTCAGTGCAGGGAGTCCCTCAGCCCAGCTTCTCCCTCTGGCAGTCTGGGCCCCTCGGGGGATGTCCGACTAACGGCTTAGGCCTGTTCATCCTTAGCGCTGCTGCGGAGGTGGGAGAGGCTCCTGCTACCACCGCTGCGCTGGGCAGCCATTAGCCAGCTTATGGCTGAGCAGTGCTCCCCCTGTGGGAGCGCACTGACCATCAGGGGGTAGCTCCTGCGTTGAGTGTCTGCCCCATGGTGGTCAGTGTGCATGATAGCAACCGGTTGTTCCATTGTTAGGGTCAATTTGCATATTACCCTTTTCTTTTATAGGATAGTGGTTGTGTACTATTTTATCTGGTTGATATACCCTAATTTATTAAGCTATTTCCCTAATGTTTTATTTTTCTTTCATTCAATAATAAAGGTAAGAATTGTGGTAAGCATTGGGGGTTAAAATCCTTTATAATAAACTCAGGACCAAATTCCTGCTTCTAGGAAGTTCACAGATAAGCAGGGTTTGTTTGGCCAGTGAACAGTGGTTATCAAACAAGGCAATGAATCACATTGTTTGTGGTTTTCTTACACATATAAAGGAGCTCTTTATATGGTCTAGCAAGGCAGTTTTCTTTTACTATTATTTGGTTCAAATATATTTTTTTTCTATTTTGCTATATTTGTCTTTGTTGCAGCAGTCAATTTTTTACATCTTTCAGCTGTTTCTTCATTTTTTTTGTTTCAAAATTGAGATAATTCTCATTTATCCACAGATCTGATAAATTATGGTCTGTATTCAGTTTTTGTTTTTCTCTACTAATTGATCTTTTAGAGTTGATATTTATTTTTGGAATGTTTTCAGAGTAGGAGGGGCATAGCTAATGTAATTACTTCTCAGTTAACCTAACAAAATTGATCAAAGAAACCCTCGAGGCTTACTGTTTACTTAGGGAACTTGAGAGTTGGTGGTGGCTCTGGACTTCTTTCCTTCTGTTTCATTGTGTCACACTGCAGCAAGTCTTGTTGCTTCGGATAGTGGTCAAGTGTATGTTGTATTTGTGTGCTGAAGGCCCCGAATCATGAACTTCAAAGTAAAACAAACTTGGTTTGAAATCCAAGGTTTACCATACGTTCCAGTTTTTTCACAAACCCAGTTTCATCATTTACTTATGTAATTTTTATCTTAGTAAATCTTTTGATCCTCAGTTTCTTCATCTGTAAAATTAGGAACAATATTACTTGCTAATTTAAGAACTCCATGAGAATAGTCTGTATAATCACAGTAGGTTAGTGGAGCTGTCAGAGGTCCTTAGTAAATCACCTTTTCCGCTTCTGTCTTGATCTAGAACTGCACTGTCCAAAACTATATATCACTAACTACATATTTAAATTAAGTTAGGACTAAATTTAGATTAATTAAAACTAAATATATTTAAAACTCAATTTCTCCATCACCAAAGTCACCTTTCAGGTGTTCAGTAGGCACCAGTGATCATGTCTGTCACGTTGGACAGAGCTGATAGGGAGCATTGCCGTCATCTCAGCCAGTTCTGCTTTAGACATGGCTCTTAAGCTCTGACTTTTTACTTTTAGCATTACCTGTCAGTTTACCTGTAGTGGCAGCGATTTGGAAAATGGAGCAGTTTGTAATATTATTTGTGCTCTGCTCACTTTTGGGACGAAGAGGTGTAACAAAGTGGTCTAAGGCTGTGGTCACCGTGGCGTTGAGTTGGCTGCCGTCCTGGGCTGCTGACATGGCACAGCAGTATCTGTTTATCTCATGCAAAGGTCGGAAAATAAAACACAGTTACGAGGCTATCTGTGGCAGGTGGTTAGAAGGGCTTAGATCCGCCGAAATGATAAAACCAAGGCATTTAATTATGCCTAACTAAATTTAATTTGTATAATTTGTAGAGATGTAATTAAATTGAGCTTTTTCCATTCTCTTTTTTTGCCCTTAGGAAAGAGAATACTGTGCCCGGCCCAGGTTGGATATTATCCAGCCGCTCTCCGAGGCCTGTGAAGAGATCTCGTCCGATGCTCTGACAGTGAGAGGCTTCCAGGAAAACGAATGTCGGGATTATCACTTAGGTGAGAGGGATCCAGGAGCTGGCTCATGGTGTTGCTTGCATTTATATTCCCCACCCCCTTCCACTGGAGTAGCACAGCAGGAATTTAAATTGAGGTGCTGAAAGGATCTTAGAGAATATCTGGGCAGGCCTCTTAGGTTGCAAGTGTGGGCATCGAGGCCGAGAGATACTATAGAACTCGCTTGAGCTCCCACAGCAGAAGGGAGGGGAAAAGATGGGGCCAGGATGGAGGTGAGTAGGCTCTGGGGTCTTTGTTTTTATTCTTGGTCTATCGCCCAAACTATTTAAAGTGACACCTAACCTACACTGATGTCAAGCAGCATGTTCTAATTACTCCCAACTTTATGTCCCTAGACAGAGTACTCTGGGACGGCAGAGAACTTATCTTTCTGTTTGTCACCAAATGCTCGGAGCCTAGCAGAGTGCCTGGCACATACTAAGGATTCACTGAATATTTGTTGAGTGGATGAATGAACATACTTAGTCACTGCTCACAAATAAAGGGAAAGACATTGCTGGTTAGTCATACCAGAGGCATCTGTGTTTGGGTATTATCACATCCTTCAAGAACACATGGATGAAAATAGAACAGCTTAGGCTTTGAAGAATGTTTTTCTGCTTTAAAAACAATCGACACTTTTGTGTGATATTTTTAGTTTTCATTTTAACCAAAGCAAATGAAGAAATCGTCTATACATGTTTGACTTTTCTTATATGAATCCCCTGATCATCTGAGAAATGTGAGAAGAGTATTCTGGACTTGGCAAAAAGCAAACGTGACTCACAACTGAGGGTGTCCAATCTAGGTATTTTGCTCAGAGCAAACTCCGCTGCACACTTAGAAACCCTTCCGAACAAGTTTTATAATTGAATTCTGCAGGAAACCCTCACAATTGGCATTGTGCACAACATGCTGAAATGACAGATTATATCCCCAGGGCTCGGGGCATCTGTCACTTATGCTTTAGATGGCCTTGACCTTGATGAGGAGGAAACATTTATCGCAGACTGTAAGGTGTGGTTGTTCTATAAAAATAGGACAGTGCTGTAAATGGCCATTAATAAAGTTTATATACAGTACGTGAATTCTGATATGCAGTAGACATGGAGAATTTTGAACATTACCTTTCAGCTGAAGTCAGAATATATTAAACACAGAATTTTAAACTCACCTTATTTTTAAAAAGATTGCCGGAGCCGGTTTGGCTCAGTGGATGGAGCGTCGGCCTGCGGACTGGGGGGTCCCGGGTTCGATTCCGGTCAGGGGCATGTGCCTGGGTTGCGGGCGCATCCCCAGTGGGGGATGTGCAGGAGGCAGCTGATCGATGTTTCTCTCTCATCGATGTTTCTGGCTCTCTATCTCTCTCCCTTCCTCTCTGTGGAAAATCAATAAAATATATTTAAAAAAAAAAAAAAAGATTTTTGGTATTTCTCCCCTCACTTTCCTTCCTTCCTTTCTCCTTCCCTTTCTTTTTTTCTTCCAAATAATTTTACAGTTGAATACTTTTTAAAGCACTGGGATATATTCTATCATTCTCTACCTTGTCCCACCCCGACCTTCAAACAGAACCAAACGCACTTGTTCCAAAGGTGTCGAGTTTTCCGTTCACTCTTACTAAATTGGGTTGCCTAATTAAGTCCCCTAAAACCACTGCCCAGGTTTCTGCTGGTGAGTTGCCCCAGATGTTCCTCTCTTCTCTCACCCATAGAGTATTCTGAAGGGGAATCACTCTTTTACATCGTGAGTCCAAGAGATGTCGTGGTAGCGAAGGAACGAGACCAAGATGACCACATTGACTGGCTCCTGGAAAAGAAGAAATATGAAGTAGTTTTGATTTTACTTTCTTGAAAGTATTGACACATCTGTAGCGTAGAGGATAAAAGGTTTTTGTGATAAATCTTTCATGTAGGTGAATTAGAATGCCCTACGCTAGAAAATATGTTGGAGGCTAATAACTTTCCAATATTCTTTTTAGAAATGTTTTTGGGAAAAGATCACAAGGAGGTTAACTAGCTTTACTGTTCAATGGAAGAGGAGTTGGTAGTGGAGGGAGGAAAGGGGTTCCATCCAGCCTGTTGAAGTGTTTATTTTGTGCTTATTCAAGAGGAATAAAATAGAGCTAGTATTTTAGAATTGTCTGTTTGGATATTTTCGTGGAATCATTCCTTTGGTGCTTATTTCATATATAAAAGTAAAGCTGCCAAATTCTCACTTAGGATGGTTGAACTACCCATTCAGATGGAACGATGCCCACTTCATTGAGTTCAGATTAATTTTAATAGATAAGAAAATAAAGCATTTTTTAACCTCAGTAACCATAATCTATTTATATGTTGCTTTAAGTTTGTAACAACCTGAAAGGATTTGGGGAAAAATTTTTTAACTTATAAACTATTCAGAGTTCAGGCATTGATACTAAGTTCGTACCATACTGCCTTTAGCTCCAGTAGTTTCTTAAAGAAATAATTCTGTGTTTTAAACATTTGTGTTGAAGTAAATAATTACAAACTTTACAGAATAAAAATCAAATCAGAGATTTTCAAAATGATATTTGTATATATACCTAAACGTATGCATATAGTTTACTTTTTATGCTTCATAAAGGAAAAGTGTTCCTTTGTCAGTATAACTCATACAGATTTAGAATGACAGATGACTTTTTTTGTTTGAACCTGAGAGCTTTAGTTACATTTTGATTTCTGTCTGCAAAGTAATTCTAATATCCTAATGTGGAAATGAATTCAGGTGGAAATAAGAGGAGTCTGCATTTTGGTTGGCTGGTTTTGTTTGAGTTTGAATGCAGTGAGGTTCATTCAACCATAGCATTAGCAATTCCTGTGCTTGAAGCAAAAGCTGCAGGAAAATGGGGCTTTATTTATGTAGTGTAGAACTCTAAAACATAATAAATACAGTGTTTATAACCTCCTGTCTTTCTCACTTTCTCCCATTTTTCCTCCTCCTTTTGTCATGCTCATGTAAATATAGGAAGCTTTGATGGCAGCTGAAATTAGCCAAAAGAACATTAAAAGACATAAGATTCTGGTAAGTGTGTAATTTTATTATTTGAAATATAGCTTTACCTTTCAATAAGTTATAATGAAACTGAAAGTAATTTTAAAAGAACTGATTCTTCCTGCCTTTTGAGAATTTATTTCAAACTAATTCTCCAACCTGTAAGATCAAAATATTTCATTTTATTGAATCAGTTTCTGCTTGTAAACAAGAGACTTGAACACCTGCTAGGAGGTAGTTTTAGGTAATTTGGAAACTGGATTTATGAAATACACTTTAAATACAAAGCTTTCCAGTTATGTGTGGTGAGATTTCTTTAAATCATAGGTAAAATCACATTATCACAAAATGTATCAAGAGTAGTTTCATGAAAGTGGATTGCTTCAGTGTTTCCATAATAACAGACTCAATTGATTTTGTTATGGAGACTAATCTAGGACATCAAATACATTTTTATTACATTTGGACTCTGGAAAAATATAGTGACTGAAAGCCTATTTCTTTGCTAACTGTGACAGTGAATGTGCAGAGGGAAAGCAGAAAATAAATCTTCTCCTTCTCCTCTGAGTGTGAAGGGTCCCTAGAGACCATGTAGCCCAGGACTCTTGTTTACAGCTGAAGGCTGGAAACTTAGTCTTTTATGGCTACTTGGTTTCAGCACAGATTCCTTTTGCCTATACTTCCCCTACCATAAACTTCTCTGTAAAACTTCATATAAAGGCCTAATTCTCAAGAATGTACAAGCAAAATAATTCCAGAACTAAACAGAGAAAGAACCAGAGCATCTTTTTATTTGTTTGTTTTTTTATTCAAAATTGTGGAGAATAGGCAGGGATTATCTAGAAATGAAGCAGCAGGTGGTCCAGCCAATAATATATGTGATGGTGCAGAGTCGTGAAACTGCTTGGCCCGCTTGGTTCTGTGGAGCAGTGAGGAGTTTGTACATCGGGAGAGTCTGATTCTGAAGGGCCATGTGGAATTAGGAGCTTGGCTCTGTCTTGGAATCTCTAGAAGACAGGTTGAGCTTGCAGTGCCTCATCCATCATATTTGCTTGTTAGAAAGAGTCTCTGGCCCTAACCGGTTTGGCTCAGTGGATAGAGCGTCAGTCTGCGGACTCAAGGGTCCCAGATTCGATTCCGGTCAAGGGCATGTACCTTGGTTGCGGGCACATCCCCAGTGGGGAGTGTGCAGGAGGCAGCTGATCGATGTTTCTCTCTCATCGATGTTTCTAACTCTCTATCCCTCTCCCTTCCTCTCTGTAAAAAATCAATAAAATATATTAAAAACAATGAGGTATGATTCCCTACTTGGTGTGGAGGTGGAAGTGATGAGACCTGCAGAGTTGATAGGAATGGAGTGGTGAAAATAGATGGAAGACATGGTCTAGACTCAGGTTTGGTAACCGGCTCTGTGTGCATAGGGAAGTGAGAGCGAGAAATCTAGGCTGACTCCCAGGCTTTGGGCTTGAGCCTCTGGTGGATGGTGATGCCATTCAGAGAGAGAGAGAGAGAGAGGAGAGAGAGAGAGAGAAAGAGAGAGAGAGAGACAGAGACAGAGACAGAGAGAGAGAAAAAGGGAGGGGGAGAAGAAGAAAATGAAGAAATGAGAGAGAGAGAAGAAGGGGAGAGGGAAGGAGAGAGGAGAAGAGAACAGGGGGAGAGAAAGAGACTGTTCAAGGAGTAGTAGGATCAGGTGTGTGTTGGGGGGTGAAATTTGATTTAGACACATTGAGTTTTTGCTTCCTATGGAACATAGTGGAGCTCAAGAAAGATATCCGGACTCAGAAATAGATACAAGAGAGTCATCAGCAAACAAATGACTATATGTGTTTGGACCAATCCACAAAGGGCAAGTGTCTAGCATTAGAGAACAGAGGACCACGAATGGAACTATTGGGCACACTCACATTCAAGGGATTATGCCTACAAACAGAATTGAAACAGCCAGAGGAAGTTTGTGTCATGGGAGCTGAGAACGGAGAGAATTTCAGGGTAAAGAGAGTTAAATGCTTAAATGGTTGAGGTTAGCAGGCCAAAAGTAAGACTAGCTCAGCTAGTTAGTTGTACATTTGGTTTAGTAATAGGAAGGTTACTAGCGAATTTTATGTATATGTTTGATTTATTCTCAACATGTTTTAGGCAGTGAAAAGTGAATAGGAGATTATGAAGTAAACTTAAATGTAGACTAGTTTTGAAGTTGAAAAGAGTGAAGATTGTGGTTGGGGGCTATGGCATCATGGGAATGTTGGTGGTGATGGTGAATATTTTGTGTAAGAGAGTCACTTAATATGCTTATGTTAGGAAAAGAGATAAAATTGGGTTGAAGTTCAAGGTATACAGAGAAAGAGGATGAGTGGCAGAATCAACTCCACATGGAGAGGGGGCGTGGCGTGAGAAGAAAGGTTACAGAAATGGCACTGCAAAGGAGACATTCTCTTCTTTGAACCTGGACAGACTCCACTGATATTGTGATACGTGGTCTGTTTTCAGAGACATAAATGTAAGCGCCCTTTCTTCACTCTGTAGCTCCTATAGATTTGAAATATGATTCCCTACATAGTAGTCATTAAAGTAAAAATATAATAAACTAAGAACTATGAGCGTTCCCTTCACTCTTGGAATGGGCATGTCCTATGCATTGATTATGCATAGACTTTTCCTCCTGGCACAATTTAATTTCATAACGAGGCAGGCAGAGAGAGAAATGAGCTCCTGCCGATTTTGTCATCAAGGGGGAAAGTCCGTAAAAACTTCTTTGTACATAAAGTAGAACTTAAAGTCCAAGTTGCGATATATATGCTGAGTTTAAGCTTCTCATGAAAATGCTTTTGGGTGAAAATAATATTTCAGAAGAGGAGTTGTGGGATGGTCAAGCAAGAGCCACAGGCCACCCCGAATCCTTCCAGAACCGAGGTAGAGTAAGTAAATAAACATGAGCACTCCGAATCCAGTAGGCCCAGTTTCCTCATCTGTAAACTTCTGGGTTTGAATTACATATTTTTCTGGGCTTAGTTTCACTTTAACATTACCTTTAATATTTCCCTTTAATATGATGTCCTGTCCTTTTGTTTTACTTACAACTCAGACTTGACATAGACAGGTGGCTCACATTTTACAGATGAAAGCTCATTGCGAATTCGAAAATTTGTGGAAATACAAGTGTATTTAAATATGATTAGGAAGGGAATGAGTATAATTACAGGAATATGCTTAAGAAAAAAGAGCATAATTACATAAAGCATACTAAGCTATATAAATAGGTTCCGGTCAGTAGTGCTAATAGGATCCTAATGTCATGGCTTCTTCAGAAATAGACTCAGCTTTTTCGTTGTTCTATTTAATTATGAAATTCCTTCGTTAATTTTCTCTAGGACATCGGCTTGGCATATATAAACCACCTGGTGGAAAAAGGAGAGTATGACATAGCAGCACGGTAATAATGACATTTACTTGCTAATATAAATAGAATTGATCAATGTTAGCAGTAAAAATAAACCATTCTCTGCAGTTGACAGATGTTTTTATTTAACCTTTCTGACGGGTAATTTTTGAATATTCATGATTTTAACCACAGCACAGATATATGTATATATATATATATGTATATGTATATGTATATGTATATATATAAACACCTACTATCTACTTTTTACCAAACAAATATTTTTCTCATTAATGAAAAAAGTGTCAAAAACCTTGAAGAGTCTGAGATTTTATCCTTTTATAAGCTAACAAGTTAGCCTGTCACAGTGTCAGGGGTGTCTCAGCAATAGTAGTAGCCAAACACCAGCACTTGTGCCAGGTCCCACAGCACTGCACGAAGAGGGCTGGGTGACCCTCCACAGCCGTTGGGTTGTTTTACAGGAAAGGGACTCTGAACTCAGGGTGCCCGATTCTTTTATAATGGGCAGTAAGCTTGCCTTCCCTTGGCCTCAGAGGAAGATGTTACTTTTATTATACTGGACAGGAAACAAACCTGTCCTTTGCTCCAGAGGGAAGCACTGTTTCAGACCTCTAATTTTCAGGGCTCTTCACTTAACCAGTATCCTTGAGAAGAAGATAGTGTAGAATAAAGACAGTCAGTGCCTCTGCTTGCAATTCAATCAGAATTGTCTCTCAACAAGATGGTGGCAATTAAATGGAAATGACCAGACTGCAGGCTCCTGGTTTGCCGGGGTCTGTAGTAGGCAGAAAACATACCTATGGTTGTATGGGTGTGTCGTGTGAATGGCTTTGCCTGCAGCTATGTGGTGCCTGTACATGGCTGACCGGAAGATAGCCTTCAGGCCTACTTTTCCTCCCCTGAGATTTAGGGAAATATGCTTCTTTCATGTGCAAATTGAGTAAAGTTTTATTCTCCAGATTATATACTATACTGTGGTAGGATTCTAATTTTCTCACGTCTAATTTTGTAGTCCATTATTTAAAGCCATTCAAGAAGTGATTTAAATTGGCACTTTGGGGTATGATGACATTTCTTCAAGGCAAGAAAGATCCCCAGGTCAGCAGTGCTCATTTGGGTAAATAGGAAACTCAGAACAGGAAAGTCATGAGAAAAACCCCTCATTGTATGTAGTCTTCTGAAAGGTATTCATCTTTATAAGTATTTTGTATTTTTATTATTTTCATCAACCTTGTATATACAAACAAGTGAGTACCAGTGCCACTTGAGATAGAATTTTGTCAGTACTCTGAGATGAGAGATTAATTTAAAACATGAGGAGAAATGTCTACTTACTCTGTCTCGGTTTATTTCTTTTTACTAAAACTTTCTTTCTCTCTTGGATGTTTTTGCTACCAGCAAATGCCAGAAAATTCTTGGGAAAAATGCAGCACTCTGGGAATATGAAGTTTATAAATTTAAAGAAATTGGACAGCTTAAGGTAAGCCTAACTTTATTTTTAACTCTTAATTTTTTTATGTAGTATATTAATATAGGTATGCATCGGAGATATTGTGGGTTAGGTTTCAGACCAATGCAATAAAGCAAATATCTCAATAAAGCGAGTCACATGAATTTATTTCCCAGTGCATACAAAAGTTGTTTACACTATATTGTAGTTTATTAAATGTGAAATAGCATTATATCTTAAAAAAAAAAACAGTACACATACCTTAATTAAAAAAATACTTTATTGCTAAAAAAAATGCCAATCATCATCTGAGTCTGTTGGAAAAATGGTTTTAATTGAGTTGCTCCATGCAGGATTGCTACAAACCTTCAGTTTGTATTTTAAAAATTGCAATGTCTGTGAAGTGCTATAAAGCAAAGTACAATAAAACAAGATATGTCTTTATTGAGATGGAAATAAAATTAAGACAATAGTAGTCACTTCTTTATTAGGAAGTGAGTATTAGCTCAGCTAGGAAGAAAAATCAAACTTTCAGAAATTAGTTTAAAAATTAGTTTATATATTATATGTATAAAAATTTACATATATAATATAGTACATAAATGATGTGTTCACTTTCTTATCCCCTTCCAGTTCTATGTTCAGATGAAGTTTTCATATTCCTCTTTTTTTTTTTTTATTGATTGATTTTAGAGAGGAGGGGGGAGAGAAAGAAATTTGTTGTTCCACTTATTTATGCACCTATTGATTGTTTCTTGTATGTGCCCTGACTGGGGATTGAACCTTCAACCGTGGCATATCAGGATGACTCTAACCAACTGAACCAGGGCTAGTCATGTTTTTTTAGTGTGGTTTTTGTTGTTTAATCTTCACCTGAGGTTATGTTTTTAGAGAGAGGAAAGAGGGAGAGAGAATGAGAGAAACATCAATAAGAGAGAGAAGCATCAATTGATTGCATCCCGTATGGGCCCTCACAGGGATTGAACCCAAAATTGAGGTATGTGCCCTGACAGGTCATTGAACCCACAACCTTTTGGTGCACAGGGTGATGCTCCAGCCAACTAAGCCACCTGGCCAGGGCTAGTCATGTTCTTTTTAATGGATGTGGAAAATAGGTATTATCTCATCCAGTAGATTTTAAAACATGAGGGTGTTTTGTGTTCATTTGTTTTTCAAATTTACTAAAGATTAAGGCTTTTTAAAATAATATTTTACTTACTGTAAAATAAATGGAAAAGTTTGACTCTAGCTCTAACAAATAATTTTGATACTTCATTTTTTAATCTTTTTTTTTTTTTTTTTGGTTTTGTTTTGTTAATCCTCACCCAAGGATATTTTTTCCATTGATTTTTAGAGAGAATGGGATGTAAGGGAGGGAGAAAGGATGGGGGGAGGAGGGAGATAGATAGATAGGTAGACGATAGATAGAGAGAGAGGGAGAGAAAGGAGAGAGAAAAACATCAATGGGAGAGAGACACGTCGATTGGTTGCCTCCTACAGGTGCCCCAATCTGGGCAGGGGATTGAATATGCAACCCAGGTACATGCCCTTGACCAGGAATGGAACCTGCAACCCTTCAGTGTGCGGGGCTGTGCTCTAACCAGTTAGCAACACCAGCCAGGGCCATTTTTTTTAAATCTTTCAACTTGGTGCACAATGACCAAATCAATAAAGTATTCCTATATTTGTTTATAAAAAAAAAACAACTTTAACATATGTGGGGCCTTTTCAGTGGTCTCTTAGCGTTATGAATATTCTTTTAAAAATTCCCAGTTACTCAGCTGGTCAGCCCTATATGTGTTCTTGTCCCTGGGAAACCCCAAGGACACTGCTCCTCATGTTTATTGGGCTGCTTCTGGGGTGTGTTATCCAGACCTGTGGCCATGTTTACCCAGGTGGCTCCATAACCTAGACTTCTCTTTTGAATATGTTATCTATGTTAGAAGTGTGTGATAGCCATTTTTTACTGTATATATTATTCATAAGGATCACTCAAATTAATGTGACTCCATTTTCTTCCCAAATTCGGTCATTCTCCTTTCAATCTGTGTTTATGACATTACATTATACCCATTCCTCCCTGCTTAGTAGCTCAGCGCCACTGTTTTGATGTAAACTCCTAACTCTTCTTATTGTACTTAAATCTCCAATTCTTGTCACTTTTACCCTGTGAGTATCAATAGGGCCTCTCTCTTTCCTTCTGCCTTAACTCTTGATAGATCTACCAGCAACCCTGACCCAGAGTTAGCTGTTTAAAAAATCAGCGTGCTGCTCTCACGGCCCCCATACCTGTTGTTTGCCTCTGCCCACAAGATAAGATCTGAACTCCTTTCGTGACCCTGCCTCCCCTTCCTCTCCAGCCTCTTCTCCCTTCAGTGGCCTCATTCCACATCTGTGACCTCCCTGAATACAGAGTATGCTTTCATGGCCCTATGCCTGTGCTCATGCTGATCCTCCTTTTAATATAATCTCGGTGATCTTTTCCCTCTTGTTATTTAGATTTTCATTAATTCAACAGAAAGAACAGAGTTGTGCAGGTTAACCTAGGCAATTTTTATTCATTCATTCAAGCATACATATCCATCATAGATACATTAAAAAATTATAATGTGATATAAAAAAATAGAATTCGTTTGAATTTTTCCTCCTTATAATAATTTCCCAAAGTATTTTGTTGCCTTAAATTTTAAAATTGAAAATATACTTTCATGTTTTCTGCATAATTTGAGTATAGTTTGGTTTTACCACTTTTTAAAGATTTTTGTTATGTTTTGTTTTTTACTTTTTCCTTCCCTAGGCCATTAGTCCTTATTTGCCAAGAGGGGATCCAGTTCTGAAACCACTCATTTATGAAATGATCTTACACGAATTTTTGGAAAGTGATTATGAGGTATGGCATTCAGGCATGGCCATATTTACTTGTTCTCAATGGAAAATGTTAAGAATTTTAGAAAAATAATATAATGGAGCAACTGGTTTAAAGTTAACTGATTTGCAGTTTGTGTGTGGTAGATGAAACTGAGATAGATAAACTCTAATGACTACTAATGTTAATGATGTAGATGGTGATAATCTCTAATCCATGCAAATTTTGGAGAATTTCTTTAAGTTACTGCCTTAATAGAAAAAGGGACTCTGTGCCATTTGAGGATTTCATAAATGGAATAGCAGCTGCTATTGCTGTTTATAATCCCCCTTAAGAAATCAGAATTTTGTGACATGTAAGACACAGAACTAAGTTTGCCAGAAGAGAATTAAAGAGAAATTGAGGGAGTAGGAATGGAGCAAGGAATTGGAAATGATCTGTTTGCTTATTGATTAAGAGAAAGGCAGTACATAAATTGATTATCAACTATATACTGCACTTTTACATGCAAATTGTGATGTTATACTCCCAACAACACTATACACAGTAATTCAATTTTACAGGTGAGGAAACTAAAAAATGAAGAAATTAACTAACTCGCCCAAGGCCATAACATTTCAAAAATAGCATGCCAAATTGTAGTTTAAGTTTGCAGTTTGCATGCACCCAAAATGGATTATAATTTTTAAAGTTTGTTAATTTAACACGCATTTATTCTGAAAGTATCTGTTTAGTGCCTACTACATTCCAGGAATGTGCTAGGCACCAGGCATACAAGTGTGAATGGGATGATGATCCTTCAGCAGTCACTCGTAGTCTGAGTCACAGCGAGCATGTAAACCAGTGGTTCTCGATACAGGGGCTGTTTTGTCCTGCAGACGGGTTTGTGGTCCTGTCATTTAGTGGGCAGAGGCCAGCAGGAACGCTGTTAAACATCTCACAGTGCACACGATAGGCTCCTGCCACAAAGAATGATCTGTCCTCAGATGTCAGTCACACTGCAGTCATGCTCATGTGTGGGAAGGTTGCAGTTTGGATGGAAATGTGTAGCCTGTTGCTGTAGTGTCTTGAGGACAAAGTGTGTAGGCCTTTAATGGAGATTGTATTCCTGATTCTTCTGTGATTTTCTTCTTACCAAATCCTGGTACTTTACAGAAGCAGGTTGTACCCTACAATTTTCATTTCTAAATATCATTTAAACAAATTCAAAGTAGTTTATTAAAGCATTGGTTGAGTTATTTAATATTTAATATGATTTTTTTCAATAATATGAGAAGTTTTACTTTTATTTGCTGTGTTTTTCCTAAAAGTTGTTAAGGATCAGTAAGCTGCTCTACTGTACTGAGTTACAAAGCCTGAGGGCTAAAGTCGGGAAACAGGAGGGCAGAGGCTGCCCAGGATCCAGGCCAAGAATCAGCCATGGGAGAGAAACAGGATCCAGATAATCTGGGGTTTTCTATCAGAACCAGCAAATCTGAGATCTAGTGATAGTCAGGGTAAGAGCCAGGGGATAAGACTTGAACCAAAGTCCCAAATTCCCAAACAAAACCAGGTTTAGAGGCGGAGTGGAAGGAGGACAAAGAGGGTAACTTGTTGAAGGATGCTGGGCGATTCCCCTGTGGGACAAGCCACGGTGAGCCGTTGTGCTGGCTGTGCAGCCCAGACCTAACGTGCGTGAGAGACAGTGGGCGAGGAGCTGCCCTGACAGTGTCTGTAGGATGTTAGAGATGTCATCCACATGTGGTAGTTGGTCCAGAGTGAGGACAGAGCAAGTCAAACCTACATTCTCTGTGCAGTGATGCTTCATTGAAGGACCAGAGGGCATTTCTTATTTGTGCGTTTCATCAAGTAAGAGTAGAAGTGGATGACACCACCTACGTCCCAGGAATGGTAAATAGCGATTAGGGTGCAGTAATTCTGTCTCCCGTGTCCACCCCCAAACCCATAGTCTGAAAATTGATGTGTTTATGGACCAACGTTTTCATCATAAAATTATTTTGTCTGTTTACGTGAGTACTTTTAGGCATGTCTAGACTCTTTAGAAAGTTATCCTACTCAGAGAGTGTTCTTCCTTTCCCCCGTGCGTTAGGGTTTTGCCACGCTGGTCCGGGAATGGCCCGGAGATCTGTTCAACAATTCGGTAATAGTTCAAGCCGTTCGGGAGCACCTGAAGAAAGACAGTCAGAACCGGACCTTACTTCAGACCCTGGCAGAATTGTGAGTATGATTTAGTGCTGCTTTTTCCAATTCCGTCTACATGGGCAGTTTTTCATATTTTAGGTCTGGTAAACTCTGAGTAGGGAGGACACAGAGGAGGGAAGGGAGCCCTTTATACCATTTTTCGATATTCCCTCTTAGTGAAAACCTTTCATGAACCTTCAGTGAACAACTACGAGGTAAGAAAAATATGTGCAATTGTAAGGTAATCTGTTTCCCAGAGGAGAGGAGTCCTGGTCAGCAGCACTTAGTAGAGGCAGTGGCTCAGGGAGGGAAGGGTGCTGCGTCTGAGATTACGTAGGCAAAATGGTTCCCCCAGAGGCTGTGGATTCTGTCCTTGGTTCTCTAGTCAGTAAGTCTCTCAGACCTCAGACTCCTTATCTGTAAGATTGCAGGTAACAATTCCTTAGGGGATGGTTTTAAGACTTAAGTGAGGTGTCATAATCAAGAACTAAGTTCAGTGCCTAGCGTTGACGTAGGACGCAGTAAATGGAATCTGGGTTACGTTTCATATTTATTGGCTACTTTTACAAAGCGGCCCAGGCTCTGTGCTATATGCCTGTGATAGAGAGAGAGATAAGGCACACCCGTGCCCTCACAGAGCTTTGGTCTAGTGCAGCGGTCGCCCACCGGTGGTCCGCGGACCACTGGTGGTCCATGAGGTCTGAAAGGTTGGCGACCACTGGTCTAGTGAACAAGAAGCAAACTACAGGTAATCTCAGGAAGACTCTTCCTGCTTCAGGCCCTCCTTGGCACTCCCACCACTTCCTTGCCCATCTTACATCTTTTGCCAAGACCGAGAAAGGTCTTGGCATAGAGGCAGTTGTGTTTGTGGCATTCATCATTTTCCTCTGGGAGCATGGTTCTGGACATTCCTTAGGTTCTGTAGTACTAACAACATACCAGTGATACTAGTAATTCTGTAGTACTAATGCTGGACACACGGTGCAGTTTAGGTGCAGTTGGCTTTTTCAGGAGCCAGCATAAGGAGTTAAGCAATGTGAAAACCATTGTTTTAACAGAAGAACACATTACATGTTATACAGCTCCCTTATAAATAAGCTTTTGGAATGTCATTATTTATCAGCTGAAGACTGTTTATAAGAATTTGAACTGATTTTTCTACTACTAAAATAAGCATTTCCTTCATTTGGATAATAGGTGTTTTTTTTTGTCTGATATGTGGATTTCTATTTTAAAAAATTGAGAATTTCTGTAAAAAAATTTTGTTGAATACTGTAAATTTTCTAAAATGTTGGCAAGATTGTGAGAAAGAAATATTTATTGGTCATGTATATAGTTAAATCCCAAGGCATGGTTTCCAAAAAAAGTTAACTTTCCTCTCTAAACCTGTTTTTCATTTTTTAATATTGTAAAACCTGATTTTTATATGAGTATGTGTGTTTAAGTGGAAGTATTAATGAACATTAATGTAAAACATTTTTATTACCAGGTACACTTATGATAAAAACTATGGCAATGCTCTGGAAATATACTTAACATTAAGACATAAGGATGTTTTCCAGTTGATTCACAAGCATAATCTATTCAGCTCTATCAAGGATAAAATTGTTCTGTTAATGGATTTTGATTCTGAGGTAATGTTTTTTATTTTAATACTGATAATTTATTTTTACTCCTCCAAATTTTTAGTAACTAGACATCTATCCAAATGCTAGAGTCGTTAATAAATCACTAACTTGGCTGTATGCTGATTGTGTTCAGAACACTCTGACTATCTCTATATGTGAGGTATTTTAGAAGTTGGCATTCAGAAATCCTTTATTTGATGTGGTTTTTCTACGAAAGCAATCATAATTTGATGAAAACTTTTGAAATTGTGTGTGAAGTAAATTTTTAATAAAACAGTTCACATAATTCATAGAAACAAAGAAACTATATGCTTTGACTCATTCAATCCTCTTAATTGTATGTTCCAGAATTAAAATTTTAAGTAAAGTTTTATTTCGATCTATTTATTATAGTTTTATTCCTTGGTATTTACAGATTTAGCTTGTGGAGTGTCCACTGGCCTCAGATGATGCTGAGGTCCAGTACATGTGAGATGTGTTATTTTATTGTAAGACAAATCTGAATAGTGGATTGCTTGACTAATGATCGCACCCAGCCTCCACAGTTCACAGTGGCTCTTGTAAAGTGATTCAAACTGTGTGTGTGTGTGTGTGTGTGTGTGTGTGTGTGTTTATAAAAGAAAGCTAATGACAAGTTCTAGTGATTGAAATAAAGAGGTTCATAAACACAGTAGTTTTTATTCAGAAAATTGAAAATTTAGATAAATCAAACAGGAGAACCTTAAGGATCCAAAAGGTTTACTTGGATTTTTTTCAATTTTATTTTGAAATGTGATGTATTTAAGGGTATTATATGCTATATTATGTATATTTGTATTATATACATATGTTATACATATATTATGTGCTATTTATTAGTCTTCACAAACTTAAACTTAATTTAAATAGGTAAATAGACTTCTTTTTTTTGAAAGATGATTTTAGCCCATTTTTTTAAAATATGTTTTATTGATTTTTTTACAGAGAGGAAGGGAGAGAGATAGAGAGTTATAAATGTCGATGAGAGAGAAACATCGATCTGCTGCCTCCTGCACGCTCCCTACTAGGGATGTGCCCGCAACCAAGGTACATGCCCTTGACCAGAATCAAACCTGGGACCTTTTAGTCCACAGGCCGACGCTCTATCCACCGAGCCAAACTGGCTAGGGCCCATTTTTCATTCTGAATGAATCAAGTCTTTAGGGACTGCAGATCTAAAAAGAATTAGTTCAGTTCCCAGGAAGTTCAGGTATAGAGGTTCTGCTTCTCTGGCAGAGATAATTAAGAGGATGAGGTGCTTACATAAAAAATATTACATTTGCCCATGTCCTTATGCCTCTTCATTCACCCATCCATGTGTCTCAAGAATCTAGTTTTGCAAATGTAGATGTAGAAAAAAAAAAAAAACGAATGAGCTGAAACGAATTGCTATTCAAGAGTGTGAACCAAAATTAAGGAATCATAGAGTTTTCTAATTACAACATACCTGAAGGATAATCTCCAAATATCCTCATATTTCAGAAGAAAAAACTGTCTGGAGCAGACAGGTAGGGAGTAGCAGAGGCAAGAACAGGACCTGGTATTCTGAGGCTCAGTCTCGAGGGCCGTGGGGTCTTGTTGCAAACACTGTCTAATTTGCGTTTTGTGACTATCAAAGGCAGTTAAAGTAAATTGTAAAAGTCCATAAGCCTTACGTCACTTTCAGAGTGCAGGTACCTTACTTTTTCTGGCTCTTATCCTCTTCTCCACATAAGACCAGTTCCTCACATCTGTGAGATCTGTACAGGGACTTGGTCAATAATCAGGTGGCCAGAAGAAGAGCTCATTTCTGTGGTACTGGGAACAGTACTTTCTCCATAACGACTGAGAGTCACATGAGAACTTTTCAAGATATCTGAGGGGTCAAGGAGGCTATAATATGTGTGTAGTCAAGATATTTTGTATTTGGTGAGTGATAACAAGGTATCATTTCAGGAGTATGCAGAACACATAGACCTCAGGTTGAGGCCCATTTTAAAATGCATTCTTTTATAAATATATCACTTAACGGTGATTGTCAGGCTAAGGACCTCCTTATGTATGGCAAATAAGCCTTCTCCCTTTAACTGACAGCAAATACTATACATGTGTTCAGTGTTCTCTTCTTATCTGGCGAATTTCAATGACTGTGGCTTTTTTTTTTTTTAATTTCAGAAAGCTGTTGACATGCTTTTGGACAATGAAGATAAAATTTCAGTAAGTGTCTTTATTTTATTTTATTTTATTTTATTTTATTTGTCTTTTATTTTTTTATATGTTAGCAGGTGAGTGTCTGGGGCTGTTGTAACCAACAAGAGGACAGATGTTTATCAGATAATTTTGCACCTATATTCCTGTCCTCATAACTCTGTGTTTAAAATTTTCCTTTTTCTCCAGATTAAAAAGGTAGTGGAAGAATTAGAAGACAGACCAGAATTACAGCATGTGGTGAGCATAACCATCGTCTTCTTTTGCCCTTTAGATTGCATAGTGGGGCACATCACCTTTCATTATTGGGGAGAGAATCCTGCAATGAACTCTTCATGTTAATACTCAGATTGCAGGTTTGATGACGAACAGTGTTCTGTAATTATTAATGTTCAGCATGTGCTCTGAATCCAGGTTAGGGATTAATTACAGATCAGACACTTTCATTTGACTCAGAAGTGATTGGTGATTTTAAAAAAGTTATATTTATTTTTGTGTTGATCAAACTGTGCCTGGGAGTAAGCACCTTCCTTCTATCATTGCTGTTTGACATAATTATAGCATAAACTACAGGCCCAGTGCATGGATTCATGCACCGGTGGGGTCCCTTGGCCTGGCCTATGCCCTCTTGCAATCCAGAACCCCTCGGGGATGTCAGAGGCCCAGTGCATGGATTCGGCCCAATCCCCGCAGGCCAGGCCGAGGGACCCCACTGGTACATGAATCTGTGCACCGGGCCTCTAGTATGCATATACAATCTTTGGTTACTCTCTTCCCACCCTCCCCTCTCCCCACTTCCCTCTGAGATTCATCAGTCTGTTCCATATTTCCATGCCTGTTCATTGAGCATCTGCCCCCTGTTGGTCAGTGTGCATCACAGCTCCTAGTCGAACAGTCGCTTAGGCTTTTATATACAGACTAGAGGCCCGATGCATGAAATTCATGCGAGAGCCTTGCTGCTGGGGGCCTTTGCCACCTCTGCCTCGGCCCCCGCCTGCTGTGGCTTTGTCCAGAAGGAAGGACGTCCAGTCTAATTAGCATATTGTGCTTTTATTATTATAGATTACAACACCACAGAATGATCAAGGAACAGTCTTCTTTCTTCCCCCTCACCTGACAGTAGTTAATCCCACTTTTCTGGAGTTGTCTTGGTGGTGGTGCTGTTAAGGCCCTCTGTTCTAGATCTTTGGGGGAATATCTAGTTTGTGTGCATTGCTGTCATCATGGGAGTAAAACAGGAGTAGGTGTTTGCTGTGTCCTTTAAAAACTGTATAAGAAAAGATTTCAGTGACAATAGGGATTATTCTGGTAGAGAGTGCTCTTGTATCTTAGCTCACCTTTTTATACCCCAGGAGGAGGCTCTGGGAATAGAGTATTATAGTTTTGTGCAGGTGCTGTTGCTATATTGTTTGTGATTGGAAATCTCAAGATTGTCTGCTGACCCAAGCAAGGTGGCACTGTGCTGGCCACCCTGGCATTTGTTTATAAAACAATGATTTCGGGCCTTCTTGTGCCATGAGGCAGGATTACAGGCAGTGGGTGCCCGTGTGACAGTGTAATTAGTGCAGTAGTGAAATGGTGGCCGATGTCACCCTAAAATGTTCATCTTCCTGTCAGGTAATGGGGTGTCTCTATGCATTTGTTCCGGCTGATGTGACAGAGCCTTCCCTTCCTGCTTATGCCTCTGGGAAATAGCACTGTGTGTCCAGCTCACACGCTGAACCCAGCCGGGGCCAGTGGAGGGCAGTCGCCTCTGTCAGACCGCGTGGAGTTCTGTCTGACTGCTCCCCCTTTCCTGCCTTTGGAAGATGCATTGGTCGGGGTTAGGCTCCTTTACTGACCCTACGCAACAGAGGATGTCAAAGGTCACCTAACTCACAGACAGCCCCAACTTCAGGGGCAGGCGGATGCTCTGTGCTTCTTTTGAACCAGTTTACGAGGGGTGCAAATGCACTTTACATGATGGTGTGATGCAGTCTTTTTAGCCTCCCGTGGGTTATGGGATGTTTGTTTACATTAACTTAACATTGAACATTGATTTCCAATTTCTGTGTGATGTATTGATAGACTTAATCTTGCCTCTGAGTACCAAGTGAATTACTCATTTCCTTTGAAGTCCATTAACTGTTTCAGACAGCTAGGGAAAGTAATCAGTTTTGAAAATTAGTTTAGAATACCTGTTCTCTTCTTGATTTTTAGTTGTTATTTTTATCTTTAATGTCACCAGTACAGGCAGCATATCATTGCAAACACAGACTCTCAATAATCCTAACAGAGGAGATGTAGAAGGTATGAGAATTAATTGAGTGCTTACTGCTCGAATTTTTAAGATCATATTCTTGTCCCATGACTCATCTACCCCCTTTTATATAAAGGCAAGAATTTTTATGATCTAGAAAGACCACTAATCAAGGGTTTTATTTCTGCAGCAAAATAGATGATGATGACAATATTAACAACTATGGTTGACCCTTGAGCAATGCCAGCATTAACCCACAGAGGTGAAAATCATGTATAACTTTTGACTCTCCAAAAACTTAACTACAGTCACCCCTCTGTATCCTGGGGCAACTGGCTCCAAGACCCCCTGTGGTTATCAAAGTGTGCACATGCTCAAGCGCCTTTTATAAAATAGCTTAGAATAATGCATACACTCAGCCCTCCACATCATGGTTCCCCAGCTACAGATCAAAAATACTGTGTTTGATCTGTGGTTGGTTGAATCCCCAATGCAAAACCCCGGATACAGAGGGGTGACAGTATATTTATTGAAAAAAATTAACATGTAAGTGGACCCACACAGTTCAAATCCATGTTGTTCAAGGGTCAACTGTACCATCACTAGCACTTCTGTAGTGCTTAGTGTATGCCAGGCATGGTTCTGAGTGACTTAGAAATGGTAACTCATTCAAACCTCACAGCAGCCCAATGAGATTTTTGCAGGTAAAGAAACTCGGTCACAGAGAGATTAGTGACTTTCCCACTGGATAGTCAGTGGTAGAGCCAAGTCACTCTGGGCCAGAGAAAGTCAGTCTCCTTGTTCTGGCAAAGATATTTCTCTTTCACATTCAGATTGTTTATTCTTGTAAGCTGCTTTCCCTCAGCCTCGCCACGGAAGCTGTTTAGAATAGAAAATTGGGATGTTAAACAGGTATTGCTTTTCTTATTTTAATATTCATGGTTTATCCCTTTGTTCTTTTTAGTATCTGCATAAGCTTTTCAAGAGAGACCATCATAAGGGGCAGCGCTACCATGAAAAACAGATCAGCCTTTATGCTGAATATGATCGACCAAACTTACTTCCATTTCTCCGAGATAGTACCCATTGCCCCCTCGAAAAGGTAAGTCACAGCTCCCCCACTCACACACTGCAGGTGAAGAAGTTGTCATTGTGGGTAAGCTGCTGGTTATTCTGCTCTTCCTGTCCCTGCTCATTAGTCCCTCTTCTGGGGGAAGACTGTTGCTCTAAGCAGTAGGTTTGGCTGGGGCATTCTGATGAGAGGTAGAGATCCTGTTGGATTAGATTTTGGTAAGAAGCCCAAGTATTTCTGTGCCAGGTTTAATTGGAATAAAGGATTAATCCAGGGCCTAGTCAGCCATAGAGCAGACACTGTGTCAGGAGTCTGAGTCAGTGTACCAGGATCAGCATGGACTCAGAGGCAGCCTTGGAGGGAGACACAGACTGTCCTGAGCCAGAAGCACTTGCTCCACTCAGGACTCAAGGTTGATAACTCGGGCCCTACACCCTGGCTGCCTTAGTCACCTTGAGTGTTTCTGTATTCCTCTCTCACTCTACAGTTCATTTCTCTAACATACTGCATCCCATTATAATTATAATCATAATTATAATTATATTTTAGCCTTTTTCCCCAGTATCTTGTAAATTCTTCAAGGATAAGGAGTTTTTCTCACTCATTTTGGTGAACCCACACCTGTTAGACACTTAATGTGTGTGGCATCATGAGTGAGTGCATAAATGAATACAAACAAGGTTCTAGTGATGGATGAATAGGAACTAGCAAGTTGAATGTACCTGTAATAAATAAACAATAAATACTTCCTGTGCAGGTACAAGAAACTTGGCAATCTAAGGCCATAGGTATTGTTTCCCATGATTCTTATAACATCTGGAATGCTATCTAATATGTACAAGTGTCTTATTAAATAAATTCAGATGGTGAGGTAAAAAGTACTTTATAACCAGCAGTATGTATCGACAAAACAAAAAAAGTATTTGACCCAGCTTATGTGCACTCACAACCTAGTTTCTTCTTCAGCCCATTATGATTAAATGTATTGGATTTACTATAAACAGTTTCAGCTCAATGGATTTTCAAAATCTGTTGAAAAAAAAATGTCTTGCCTGCATATTAACTTAATTTATCAAAAACTTTAACATTTTATATTTTGGCCCTAAGACATTTTCTCAAAAAATACATTTGGAAATACATCGTCTTACTCTAAAAGTAAAATCAAATGTTCTCTCTCTTTTCTAATTACGGAATCTATAATCTAGAAAAAGCTGGGAAATGCAAAGTTTGTAGATTTTCTTTAAAGACAAAATTAGATAAACTATGACGGACTCAAGGCTAGGTAGAAATCATTATTTAATTTATTATTGATAAGGTTCTTGTTAGTTACCCCAAACTATGTTCCTTACCATTGTACTACATCAGGAAAAGGACAATTAAAATATTTTGCAACATTTTTTACTCAATTTCTGTCATTCTTTTTACCTTTATTGTTACTACTACCAGTATTCCACTTTTACCTGTATGTCCTATTAGCTTTAAAAAAAATCTTAGTTTCCATACTCTTTCCTCTAGAGGGAGCACTATGGCCCAGGAACATTCAAGAATCTAAAATAAGGAGGCATGATTTTATATTGCACTGTGTCAAGAATAGAAAAATTATTTGAACCAGAAATACTTTTCTCAAAATTTCCAGAAATTATTCTAGAGTCTCTACGTTCTCATATATGAGAAAGGATAATTTAAGATACTATTAGGAATATAAAACATTTAAAATTCTGTGATATTCAAATTTCAGAGACTCAACATTATCTTTGAGCTTGGTGTCACACATCTGCTTGCATTCAAGAATCTTCTTGACTTCAAACTTGCCTTTAGGTATCATGTTGTACATGAATGATCATATTTGATAGTATCCTAAAAGAGCTTTCAGCAGTTTTATCCTGTACAATGTTCTGCAGTTGAATATTTGAAAAGTGGCTAGAGAGGAACTGAATGTTTAATATAATAGAATTCAGTAGCGACATTTAGAAAGTGGCTGCTGTCTGGGGTCACTTGGGAGAGCCTCCAGACTGCGTGTGGTTCAAGACAAGCATATTCTCAAGCATTTGCATTTACTCAAGAAGAAGCGGGGGAGGTGGTTCTGTTTGAAACATCTGCTGGCACTTCAAAGTGTCAGTAAATTTCCAGGTACATAATTGATTTTTGGATACCTTCCAGTAAGAAACTACTTTAGGCAGCATATTCATCTTTATTCATATTGTCTTTGTCTGAGCATTCTACCTATCCAGTTGTGTTATTACCATTATCTGTTTACCTGTGAATGACACAGTCTCACTAAACCATAAACTGTCCATCTGTATCTCCGTCTGCTAGCACAAATCTGGGCACTCACCTGGTTTCTCCATAATTTTTTTGTTAAAATAGTCCCAGGTCCTTTGACTTTAGATTTTTGCTTTTTCTCTTACTATTTAAAATTCTCACATGTGTATCCTGACTCTGTTCTACTATCATCCCAGAAGAGTTAAGAGTTGGTAAGAAAGTTCCGTTGTTTAGGATGGTGATTTATAGGCATGACAGTATAGAGAGAGGTGAACCATCTTTTTAACCAAAATGAATGAGGAGTGCCGTGGCTGGGTGGCTCAGTTGGTTGGATCATCATCTCCTACACAGAAAAGGCTGCAAGTTCAACTCTTGATCAGGGCACATATCTAGGTAGCGGTTTTGATCTCCTGCCTGGGTGCATATGGGAGGCAATTGATAGAAGTCTCTCTCTCTCTCTCTCTCTCTCTCTCTCTCTCTTGCCCTCTCCACCCTCCCTTTCTCCCTTCTTCTCTCTCTAAAAATCAATAAAAAATGAAGATTTTAAAAAAAAGATGAATATGGAATTTCTAAGTGGTAGTTAGGATTAGACTCTGTTTAGTTCTCTGTCGCATGGAAGTCCTGGTGGAGTGTTCTGCTGGTGGTTCATGTCACAGGGTCCGAGACCCAGGCTCTTTTCTTTTGCTCCCCCACCTTGTATGACCTTGACCTTCTGATGTGAGATAGTAGCATCCATGTTCGCAGAATCGGATTGGATGAAAGGACTGAAAATGAGAGAGAGAAGGGTTCACGCGTGCTGCTTCTTAAAGAGCACCCCAGAAGCTTCCATGTTTCTGGTTCATCTTTGGGGAGGCTTGGAGATTTTTTTTTTAAATTTTGGGCAGTTCTCCACCTGAAATCTTATTACTATAGAAGAAATGAGTAAAAGACATTGGGGGACAACTAGTTATCTCTGCCATGTAACTTTTAAAGGAATCTTGTGAGAAATTGAATTAATAGTATTTCCTCCTCTTTGTGACCTTCAGGTCTTCTCATTTCCTCACTTAAATGATTTGTGTACTTTAAAATGCCATCCTAATTTCATTGCCATTCCACAGTAAGGTGTTATTTGTTTTTTTCCCTTTTGTATGTTTCATTTGGGTTTTTCCCCCCTACATCATTGATCTCTATGGTCAGCATTTTTTTCCTTTCTTTGAGTTGTTAATCTCCAATCATGGACATAGATTTAAATACATATTTTACTCAAAAATTTTTAAGTCAGAAATCAAAATGTCAAAACTAGCTCCTGCTGTCATTTCCCAAAATGGCCCATTGAGCTGAAGAGCTAAAGAACTTAAGCTGTTCTTTTTACCTCCTTGGTTTTGTTTTTAAAGTAACCTTGGCTGGTTGTTTTTAACTGACTGCTCTAACTGTGCAACCCAGTAATCTTCCTCCTGAAACCTTTTCATTTATTGAAAAAATATTTATTGTACACCTGTGAGCCAGATGTGTGCAGGTGCAGTGAGAGTGAGTGCCTGGGATCTGGCATGATGTGGGTCCAAGGAGGCTTTTATCTGAAGGACCTGCCAGGGGTGCAGAGTGGAGTGGGAGGGCAGCCCTCGAGGCCGAGGGGCAATGGTAGAGAGATGAGCAGGGTGTGAGGTGTTACTGCACAGAAAGGCAGGGCTTCCGAGGCCACAGTAAAGATTCTCAACTTTAAGCAGAGTAACAAAATAAGAAGCGTCCTTAGTAGGCATGTGAGTGAGCTTACAGTGAAGGCTCATGCATACTGCACCCGTTCAGATGCCCCTCTGAAGGGCCACGCCGGAACTCAGGTCCTGTATTGATGCGCATAGCCCTCCATTCATGCTCCCCTGGTCATGAGATTCTGTGTCGTCACTGCTCTGTCACGCTCCCTGGTGGACTCGTGCTGCCTCCACTTCTACTGAGCCACCTCCATCTCCTCCTCATCTTCCTTTTACGTGTCATCACCATCATCAGCATTTGTATTTCTATCATCGTTGTATCTCCAGCCAATGACTCTCTAGTGCACAGCAGAGTATATAGTAAATTTGTGTCCGTTCATTTAGATCATTGAATTGTTTATAAGCACATAGTGGTGGTGTTTTTTACACTCAAGGAAATGCTATCACCTATATAGTCCTTCATTTCTTCACTTGATCTCCTCCTTCTTGATTGTTAGATGTGTTTTTCTCTCACTTTTGACAAATCCTTGAACAGAGTTATTTTAAACCCTGAGAGCTGGCAATAGAAATATTCCGGGTACTTAGTTATTTATGTAACAAATGTTTACTGAGCTGTGATGTGCGCTCAGTACTGAGGACGTGCGCAGTGAGCAGCATCCTTTCATGCAGCTGCATCCCCGTGGAGGGAAACAGCTCAACCACGGACAGTGGATCAGCTGGGAATGGCAGTGCTGTGAAGGAACTAAGCAGCAGAAAGCAAGAAAGCTTGGTGGGAAGGGGCCCTTCAGCATCTTGCTTTCTGCCTTTATCCATGGAATGCTCTAAGTCAGTGATGGCAAACCTTTTGAGCTCAGCGTGCCAGCATTTTGAAAAACCCTAACTTAACTCTGGTGCCGTGTCACATATAGAAATGTTTTGATATTTGCAACCATAGTAAAACAAAGACTTATATTTTTGATATTTATTTTATATATTTAAATGCCATTTAACAAAGAAAAATCAACCAAAAAAATGAGTTCACGTGTCACGCGTGTCACATTTTCCTCTGTGTGAAAATCAATAAAATCATATCTTTAAAAAAAAAATTAAACTCTGCTTTGCATATTCATAACCTCTGACACGTGTGTCATAGGTTCGCCATCACTGCTCTAAGTTGTCTCAAATATAGGGATGAGCAAAAGTCAGTTTACAGTTGTAACATAAATATATAATACAATAATGAGTAAACAATAATACAAGAATAAAGTCTGCTGCCCGGTTGGTGTGGCTCAGAGGTTGAGCATCAACCCATGAACCAGGAGGTCACAGTTCGATCCGATCAGGACAATGGCTTGATCCCCAGTACGGGGTGTGCAGGAGGCAGCCAATCCCTAATTCTCTCTCATCATTGATGTTTCTATCTCTCCCTTTCCCTTCCTCTGTGTGAAAATCAATAAAAACATATCTTTAAAAAAAAGATTAAACTCTGCTTTGCATATTCATAACTCTAAATCTACTTTTGCCCACACCTGTATGTTACCATTTGAATTGTATAGGGACCAGTACCTCTCTGAGACATAAATGGATCCAGACACCAGCAAACCTAAGGAGCGTTGTGTTTTTGTTTGTTTGCTTTGTTTTTTTTAAAGTGACGCAATGGAAAAATTCTTTCAAATTGTGTGTTTAAGTGACTCTATTAATATTTGTTCTTGTCTGGTAACCCATGGTAACATTTTTGTCCTGCTTTATTTGAAGGCTCTTGAGATCTGTCACCAGAGGAACTTTGTAGAAGAGACAGTTTATCTTCTAAGTAAGTAGTTTTCTCTCATTTTGGTCCCCATAAACTAAGAAACGGGGTGAAAATGTGATATAAATTGTCTAAGAATTGGCATAGGTTTTAGAGCAAAGTAATATAGAGGTTAAAACCTCTTTGTATAAGAATTTAATACATGAAAAAGGAGGCTTCACAGCTCAATAGAGAATGAAGAGTTATTTAATAAATGCTGTTGAGGTATCATATTAGTATTGTGTAACAAACAAACACATCAGCTTATATTACCACCATCTTGATAGAAAATAAATAATGTTCATTTTCAAAAATCACACCCTAAATAATGGAGGAAATGCAATTGAATATCATAGTTTTCAAAAGAAAGGGAAAGTTTGTAATCTGATCCAGCTGTCAGTTGTCCCTGTCCTCTGGCTCCTATTTCCACCTTTCAGTTGTCTTAGAAGGAGTAGAGAACTTACAAGGGAAGCATAGTATCCTTTTTAAGTTATAAAAACTTAAAAATCATATACACACTTTTAAAAATTAGCCATTTTTAAAGATATGAACTGTGGGAATATTTGTAGGAAAAGCAAAATGCTATAGAAAATATAACAAATGGGATGTAATTTTACTCACAGGCCAGCATTTTGCTTTAATAATGGCTGCCCCAAGTGAGAAGGACTCGAGATCCATTACTAGCTCTTGCGGCAGGCCAAGGGCAAGGAAAAGGGCAATTGCCCACAGCCAGGCAGTGGCTGTACTTGCTCTGAGTAAAGCTTTCTACATGTATTATATTAAAAACTCACGGAAATTGATAATAAAACCATTAAAATGCCAGTAAATGAATGAACAAAGTATATAAAGATAATCAAATTGAAGCATAGTTGGTAAAGACTTATTTCATGAGAGTTACTGAAAGGGTTTCCCCTGAACTGGGAAGAGAAGGAAAATGAGGTCACTGTCTGATCATTGAGGTTGTGGTTGGCACACAGGGTATCGGAAGAGCAATATGCAAAGCTGCTAAAGAGGCAGAATGACTCCAAGGCCTTTATTTACTTACTTACTTATTTTATTTATTTATTTTTATTGAATTTAATGGGGTGACATTTAGCTTCTGTATAATAAAAGCCTAAGCAACCGTTACGGTGGAACGACCAGAATGACTGGTCACTATGATGCACACTGACCAACAGGGGGCAGGTGCTCAATGCAGGAGCTGCCCCCTGGTGGTCACTGCGCTCACACAGGGGGAGCGCCACTCAGCCAGAAGCCAGGCTCACGGCTGGCGAACGCAGCAGCATTGGCGGGAGCCTCTCCCACCTCTGTGGCAGCGCTAAGGAGCAGCGAGCCAAGCGGTAAGGAGCAGTAGCAGGCAGGCAGTAAGGAGCGAAGGCTCCCGGACTGTGAGAGGACGCAGGCCGGTCTGAGGGACCCCCCCCCCCATCCCCAGTGCACACATTTTGTGCACTGGGCCTCTAGTATATAGCTAAGCCTAAGTGACAGTTACAGCGGAATGACTGGAACGACCGGTCACTATGTTGCGCACTGACCACCAGGAGGCAGATGCTCAATGCAGGAGGAGGGGGAGGGGGGCTCAGCAAGGCCTGGAGGCACATGCTATGGCCCAGGGATCCCAGGAACCGCAAGCCCAGAGCTTGCTTTCCAATAAAAAAAAAAAAATCTTTTTTTGAACAAAAGAAAAGCGGCCAGATGCTGCCGCCCTGAGAAGAGCGGCTCCAGGAGGAAAAGGCCTCCCCAGGCCAAGCCCAGCCTGGCTGGGCGCAGCAGAGGACCACGCACTGACCATGGCAGCACCACCTTCCTCTCCCTCCCCACCCCTCGGTCCCACTGCTCGCAGCAACTCACCAGTGGTGTGCCGGAAACCCCTTCGACTCCAAAGCCGGTTGTGCCAACAGCTGCTCCCCATCCTGCTCCCCATCCTGCTCCCCATCCTGCTCCATGGTGGACACAGTGCTGCCAAGCTGCTCTGCCTCAGCTCTGGTTTCCAGCTTCCTGCCCACCCCTTTGTATACTACATGCACTTAGGGGCGTGGCTTCGGCCTCCCGGCCAATAGCACTGCAGCACAGCCAGAGCGTGGTAGGACACAGCCACCAGGCTGGCTGGGCATTGATTTGGCCGGGTGACTAATGTCCATGTCCAGTTACACTGAGTGTTTACATTTGTAGGGAAGCAGGGCAGCCCGCTCCTGCTGCCTGCGTCACCTTCTAGGCTAAGAAAGGCCCGCTGATCTCCGTGTTCCTCCTCCTGTCCGGAATCAAAACCTCTTGAGGATGAATGATCCCAGCAATGGTCCCAACACACGCTTGGTGTCACTGTCACAGACATTCCCAGTCTTTACAGCCTGTTCCTCAGCCCGCAGTGCCCTGCTCCACCTCCTCACCTTTCACTCCCTGAGGACCACTTTATGTTATCCTGTTTGAAATGTGAGCAGTGCCCCCCTGTCCTTTTTTCTTTCAATAGCTCCCTTGCCCTACATTTCTTCCTCTAAAAACCTTGCATTTTAAATATATATATTTGATTAATTTTGGAGAGGGAAATAGAGATAGAAACATCAATGATGATAGAGAATCATTGATCAGTTGCCTCCTGCAAGTTCCAAACTGGGGATTGAAACCTCCCACGGCTCCTCCCCCTGGCCGGCAAATCTCCCTCAGTCCCTCCCCTGGCCAGCCGGCCGGTGGCAGCACAGTGGGGAGGGAAGGAGGAGCAGGGAAGGCAGGAAACTGTGCGGTGGCACGGCCCCGAGGGCAGCTGGCGTTTGTTCCTTCCACGCCCAGCCCAGCCCAGCCCAGCAACCGTTGCCTACTCTCCCGACCCTACGGGGGCCTTCGGGCCCTGATCGGCCCTGATCACCAGCCAGGCCTAGGGACCCCACCTGTGCACAAATTTTGTGCACCGAGCCTCTAGGTAGTTAATAAAATTATATAAGTTTCAGGTGTACAATTCTATTATACATCATGTGTATATTGTGTTGTGTGTTAACCACCCCAAGTCAAGTCTCCTTCCATCACCATTTATTCCCTCTTTCACCTTCCCCGAACCCCTTTATTTCTGGTAATCACCATACTTATGATGTTGTTGTGGGGTGTTTTTTTAAATTTTGTTTTCTTTTTTGTTTTTGCTTCATTTCTTCACTTTTTCTTATCCAACCCTTTAAAAGTCTTAATTGTATGTGGGTATGAGGGGTTCAGATACAGGCCTGTGAGAATCAAGTCAGCATCTGACAGACCTGGGTTTGGATTCCAGATCTGCTGTTTAGTAGAAACATTTCTGTGTCCTCTTCTATAAAATAGAAATATTAGTGTGACATATCTCATTGGACTTTAGTAATAATGAAATTATGTCATTCATGTGAAGCACTTAAATGAGTGCTCAGAACACAGTAGACACCTAGCAAATAGGAGACATTTATTTTATTATGTTATGCGAATGTCACATAGGAAAATATGCTTTTGTGTTAGCTTTAAAACGGGGTGAATAAATTAAGAGATATGCTATTTCTTTAACAATGTTTCATTAAAATGTCCTGAATGAAGTATTTCTCACATCTTTGCTAGGCCGAATGGGCAATAGCCGAAGTGCCCTGAAGATGATCATGGAGGAATTACATGATGTTGATAAAGCAATTGAATTTGCCAAGGAGCAAGACGATGGAGAGCTCTGGGAAGACCTGATTTTATATTCCATCGACAAACCACGTAAGCAAAAAAACCATCTGCGATCATCACTCTTTTCTCTCAATATAGCCAGTTATGTCTAGAGTAAGAATTATCTCAAGACACAGTAAGTTAAAAATATGGTCAAGTATCTATATAAAGATAGGCCAGGCACACCGAAACGCTTTCCAATGCCAGTCCTGTGCAGAGCAGCCTGGAGTCCCATCACTTTGAGTTACCTGAATGTGATAAAGAGCAAGTGGCTCACCTGGTAATATTAACTTGTCCCCATGAAGCATATTTTTACCTGCTGCACCAGGAATTTACTGATTGGCCCTCCGCTTGACCATCGTGTTGGGTCTCCCATCTTGGAAAGAAACAAAAGCAGTCACCTAACAATAATCCAAGTTCTTCTTTGAAGGAAAAAGAAATGATTCAGAAACTAGCAGCAACAGTGGCTTAAAATCTCCTCCCTTCTCTTTATTTTTTGGTAGAAGACTTCTATTTCAGAATTTTCAAGTTCTAGAAATTGCTGTTCTGATTGTCTTTTAAATATGAGGATAATGTTAGCATGACAAAGTAGTAGTTTAAGGATCTTAAAGGAAGCAAAGTGGGTGTAAAGGTTATTGGGTCTGGCTTAGTTTTGAATTTGGGCCTAAAACTCGCTGGTTGTGTGATCCTGGATAGATTAATCACTTCATTTCTCGTTTCTGTAAAATAGGGACAAATAACACTCCTACCTTGCAGAATATTGGTGAGAAGTGTATGATATTGAGCCATAGAAAAATCTCAATAAATATTTGTTGCACCCTGTTAACATCACAAATTATATTCTGAAGTAATCATTTGTTCTCTGTTTTAAATTCTCTATATTTAGCTGCTTCTTTATGTCATGAGGAAAGTAAAGGAAGATTACTTCTTGAGAGTTTATAAATTCAAATTTGAAGGACATTTTTTTTTCTTTGAGTTGTTTTTGGCTTAAAATTGCATTATGTACATTGCTTATATGTTAATTGCTTTCTGTGGTGTTTTATAGCATTTATTACTGGCTTGTTAAACAATATTGGCACGCATGTTGACCCAATTCTACTGATTCACCGTATCAAGGAAGGAATGGAGATTCCCAATTTGAGAGATTCCTTGGTTAAAATTCTGCAAGACTACAATTTACAAGTAAGTATCCTTTTGTAGACAAATAAGTATACTGAGGGAGTTGACTGACTGAAGGATAAACATTTATAGGGTTTATTTTAAATATTAGTCAAATAATTCAATTTGATAGTTACAGTCTGTTTTGAACAGTTTACTTGGAAAATTATTCAAATAGAGAAACTAGAAACATCACCCTTTATGGAAGCCATCTGATATTTAACCACCTCCAAGTTTCCTCTTATTGATGAACAGGTATTCTTACATTTGTGTGGTGAATCCAGCATGGCACTGGGGAGGGAGTAGTTACCGTGACCGTTAGATCAGACCACCCAAACCTTTTTTGAATAGAATGAATATTATGTCCACTTGGGAGAATAAAAAAATATTTTTCAAAGAGTTAGATAATTTCCTTGAAGCCACTTAGCAACCTATTGCCTGAAACATGTTAAATACAGGATTTTATTTAACATTTTGTCTGTTTTCTAGACTAGTAACAATTTTATTATCTATAATAATTTAGAATTTGTTGTTTATTTTCATATAAAAAATTTATATGCTAATTTCATAGCATCCTAATCTTTTCTTTAAAAGGACTCTGTGATAATTAATATTTTTTTGAATGCTGGTAGCTTCCATAGAACTTAAAACTATTTAAAGCATGTTTCTTTAACAATTCAGACTACACTTTGCCTACTTTATTTTAAACTGAGTTTTTGTTATAATATGGTTGAAATTGCTTTCCTGGACGCGTAGAGAATTTTTCAGGTAGAGCGGGAAGATAAGGTTGGGGTTGGGGGAAGAGAAGTGGTTATCTGGATAAATAAGGAGAGGGGAGGATCATGATGAGGATTTGTGGGGCCTGTAGTCACTATGAAGGGTGCAAGTGGGGTGCCTGCTGAATTCAGGTGGTGGCCTCAGTCAGAAAAGAGGCAGGGTGAGCCCTGCCAGTGTGGCTCAGTGGGATGGGTGTCATACTGGGCACCAAAAGGTTGCTGGCTCGATGATTCCCAGTCAGGGCACATGCTCAGGTTTCAGGCTCAGTCCCCGGTAGGGGGTGTGCAGAAGGCAGCTGATCAATGTTCTGCTCTCACAGGGATGTTTCTCTTTCTCTCTTCCTCTCTCTCTAAAAATCAATAAAAATATTTAAAAGAAAAAAAAGAGGCATGGTGAGAAGGAGAAAACATTGAGGAAGATTGATGTGAGAAATGTAAAGGAGTGACAGAGCTGGAGGGACAAGAGCCAGGGAGTGGGATATTGTTACATTAAGTTTCCGAAGGAGTCATTGTGAACATGTACAAAAAGTGGGGTGAAGGTAGAGGTCATTGGAGTGGAATTAGTGAAGAAAATGTGAGAGCACACTGAGAAGGGGGAGCAGGGGGCTGTCAGCCAAGTCCCATCATTCTTAGTGATTGGGAAGGGTAGTCTCGCAGCTACAGGTGACTGGTATTACTGGCCAACACAACTTTAAAGGAGAAGAGGTTTCTTGAAGCTGGGATATGAGAAAACAAGGAGCCTTCACTCAGGAGGGCTTGTGGGAAATCAGGATCCTGGGAGAAAAATGGATTAAGACAAAGGGGTAGAGGGCCTGTTCTGCAAAAAAACCTCCAAGATATACAGGTATTTCTTTATTTGGAGGTTTGCAGATGACCCAATAGTACAAGGTATGCTAGTAACAAATTGATTGTACAAGCTACAACTGGTTGTCTTGAAAATGATGAAGACAAAGGATAAAGGTAATCTACACTAATAAAAGAGAAACATGGTAATTGGTGTACGACCGCTACCCTTCCCATTGGCTAATCAGCATATCCTTATGCAAATTAACTGTCAGCCAAGATGGCGGCCGGCAGCCAGGCAGCTGGAAGCGAACATGAGGCTT